GGGGGGCTTGAACTTAAAAATTAGATTTTGGGAGTTTCAAACCACCACAACCTCACACCAAGGGACCCACAGTAAGAGAAGCCCTTCGAGTTCCCTGACTGTGGGAAGAGCTTTGGCTGCTGCTCCAACTCCATCAGCCATCAGAGGACCCCCATTGGATGATCCACAGGGACCCACGTTGGGCACAGACCTGGTGACCCATGGTCCAGGTGGTCCATGCTGGGAAGTGTATTGGGGTTTAGATGGCCATGTTTTGGTTCCTGGGGGGCTCCAGGGGTGGGTTCTGTGAGCAGCTACCAGAAACTTCCCCTGTGTCCAGCCCCTGTCCCAACTCCCCTGACAGTGAGGGTGACTCAGGGTCTTCTTAACTGATCCCTTGGGGCAGATTAGAGTTAGTTTATCTATATCTATGTCTCTATTTATATCTATCTATATATGTAGGGTTTAGTTTAGAACAATTTTGTCTCCATGTAAAGTAGGTTTGGGGCAGTTTTGTCTCCTGTCTATAGTGATATAAAAACACAAAAATAACACTTCCCCTCTCTGACTCCAAGCCCAGCCTGTCCCCTCCAGGGGTGGGTGTTCCCCCCGCTCTGCCCCAGGCGGTTCCATTGCCCATGGGCAGCAAAGCCCCCACTGCTTCTGCAACTGGAGAGTGTTGGAGCCATGGACCATTAACATTCCAGTCTCTACAAGCTCTGCATCCTAAAAGTCAAGAGGGTTCAACCTGTCACCTCAAAGTGGATCAATCCCACTGAAAATGGTTCAATCCCACCCCAAACTGGCTTGATCCCACCCCAAAATTCCTGTGTTTCTTATTTTCCCTATGTAATTCTGGGGCAGCCGGTGCCACCCCTCAGCTTTCCGCAGGCTGAGGCTTGACCTTGCACTTTTGCCTTTGCTGGATTTCTTCATCAAATATTTTTCTCTCCGTGAAAACAAAAATATGGAAGGTTTTCGATAATCTGGACATCTTTAGACCATCTGGACAAATTACAGTTTGTGTGTTGGAACGGAACATTTTCCACGTTTAATCATTTGTTCCCATCCCTCCCAGGAGGGAGGACACTGAACTCTTCCACAGAAACAGAAAACTAGTAACGAAAATTCAGACTACTGAAAATGAAAAATACCTTTTGCTCACAGGTGACCCTTTCATGTCCTTCTCTTCTGCCTTCTTGCAATCGATGTGATCCGTGGCAGCAGTTGCCTAGATGATGGCCAAAAAAAGCATTGAATTAATTTAGAATCATTCCAGAAAACTGAATCACAAGTGGGGATTTGAAACTGCCTCAGGGGAGCACATTTGGAGAAAAGGGTTCCTCAGTCACTTAGAAAATTTGGCTGAAAGTGCTCGTTGTGGACGTGAAACTCTTAAATAAATAATACCAACTCATCCTGCATCCTTCCCAGGGCAGTATTTTTATCCCCAGATTAAGATATTCTCCAGTGACTTTGTCTCTACACAAATCAATGTTCTCCTGGGAAAAGCACCAAGTATATGAGACAAGTAACTGTAAAAACAACCAACCCACCCACCCCCCACACAAAGAAAAGCCCAAGAAAACCCCAAGAACTTGCCAAACTAAATAAACCCCTGAAAACCAGGTTTTGAAGCATTTCAGAAGTAGTTAAAATAAATGAGACATCAGTCCTTCTGCCTTCAACAAACTGCCTCAAACTTCTCCTTTCTGTGCTTAAAAATCAACATTTCAGTGACTCAGATTGTAGACCAGTATGAACTTTGCTGCCCAGCTCAACCACCAGTGCCCCTAAAGGTCCTCCCAGAAAAGGGGATTGAGGGGGTCCTGGGTGGGCTCTGGATGGATTTACGGGGTCCTTGGGGATCTGTGGGGTGGTCCTGGCACCTTTTCGAGTGAGCTGGGTGCCCACTGAGGGGTAGGTGCCCACCCAAAGCCCCCCCGAGCAGGTTGACACAGGGGAAGGCTGGGGGGATCCCCATTCCCAATCCATTCTGGGGCCAGTTTTGCCCTCCCAAACCTCAGCTCCTCCCTACGTCACATCTATCATATGACAGCACATCTTCCTCTGTGACATCACATCTTGTCTATGATGTCGCATCCATCATATGATAGCACACCTCTCCCGTGACATCACAGCTCCACTGTGAAATCACATTCGCCCTGTGACATCACATTTCCCTCTATGACATCACATCCTCCATGTGACATCACATCGTCCTCTGTGAAATCACATCCTCCCATGATATCACATCCTTCTCTGTGATATCACAACTTCCTGTGACATCACATCCTCCTCTGTGACATCGCATGCCTCCTATGACATCACATCCTCCTCTGTGACATCACATCCTCCTCTGTGACATCACAGTTCTCCTGTGACATCACAGTTCTCATGTGACATAACATCCTTCCTGTGACATCACATCCTTCCCGTGACATCACATCCTCCTCTGTGACATCACATCTAGTCTATGATGTCGCATCCCTCATGTGACACATCATATGACATCACACCTCTCCAGTGACATCACAACTCCACTGTGACATCACATTCTCCCTGTGACATCACATCTTCCTCTATGACATCACATCTTCCATGTGACATCACATCCTCCTCGGTGACATCACATCCTCCCATGACAACACATCCTTCTCTGTAACATCACAGCTTTCTGTGACATCATAGGCTTCCTGTGACATCACATCCTCCTCTGTGACATCACATCCTCCTCTGTAACATCTCATCCCCCTCTGTGACATCTCATGTCTCCTATGACATCACATCCTTCTCTGTGACATCGTAGGTCTCGTATGACATCCCATCCTCCTCTGTGACATCACATCTTCTCCCATGACATCCCATCCTCCTCTGTGACATCACATCCTCCCATGACATCACATCCTTCTCTGTGACATCACAACTTCCCGTGACATCACATGCTCCATGTGACATCACATCCTCCTTTGTGACATTGCATGTCTGCTATGACATCACATCCTCCCCGTGACATCAGATCTCCTTTGTGACATCACATCGTCCTCTGTGACATCACAGCTCTCCTACGAACATCACAGGTCTCCTGTGACATCACATCCTTCCTGTGACATCACACGCTTCCTGTGACATCACGTCTCCTATGACATCACATCCTCCCTGTGACATCACATCCTTCCTGTGACATTACATCTTCCCCATGACATCACAGCCCCTCCCTGTGACATCACATCTCTCCTGTCATATCACATCATCCCTGTGACATCATCCCTGGTGGCTGCCTGGGGATCTTTCCAGTCATAAATGTTATCACAAAAAAGAAACTCTCTCTTTCATACAGGCAGTAAAACTGGAATCCTGATGCCTTCAAATCTTCAGCAAAAACCACGATTCAAACTATGAGCACTGCTCTTCTGTCGCCACTGAACCAGTTGTAGGTGACTGTGATTTAATAAAGCAGCAACAATTGGCCCATACACATGGTGTCCTTCTGTGGTGTTTTAGAGCTGGCTCCCTGCCAAGTCTCCAAACCCCACTGCAAGAGCTTCCCCCCCAAAACCTAGGGAAAAGGAAAAAAACACAAGAGAACAGAAATAAGAGAAAGCTAAAGCAGTATATAAATATATTTTCACTGATATTACATTTATATACAAAAACTATATACACATAAGAAAGAAACCCCCAACACCCACAAACAGAAAAGGGGAAGGGAAAAATGGGACAAAACAAACAAACAAACAAAAACAGGTATACACGCTCAATAAAGAAATAGCCAAAGAAAACCATAGTATTTTCCTTGAGAAAGCACAATCATGCCCAACGCCACCACCACGCTACTGGACCCCAGCTCAGCAGAAACAACCGACCCCGTAGGCCCGACCAGGCCTCAGCTCCCCCACAGAAGTGAGACCAGCCACAGGAGTCTGTTGTCTCCAAACCTCACCGGAAGGGAGGAAGAGGAAGAGCCTTCCCTGTCCACCTATTACATAAAGGTGCCTGATTACATAAAGGAATAGGATGGAATACTTCCTTCCTAGGCCTAGACTCAAAACCATTACACTTTCAGATGCTCCACATCCTGAGCAGACTGTGTCCTGCTCCTCCTGTCCTGCTGCCTGCAGGACAACTTCCCCCTCAGCACACCCCGAACCCCAGGCTTCTTTGGGAAGTTGAGCTCTGGCTGAGACTTTCCCCAGGAGAAGTCTCATTTGTCTCTCCTCAGGGCAGTCCCCCCAGCACCCAGCCAGGATAGGGCACAGAATGAGTGGCCCCAGCTCTGCCTCCCCAGGGGTGTCCAGGCATCCCACGAGGCATCTGCTGTTGCTGCATCACCGTCTCCCCTCACCAGAATGGATTTGGAAGGCTTTCCAAGCACAGGGAGCCAGAGGGGACCAGAGAGGAACCTCAGGGCTCCCAGAGGGACGAGAGGACAAACAGGGAGTCTGGGTCACCGCCCCCATGGCAGAGGATGAACCTCCACTGTCCCTCTCTTGCACCAGTAGCATGTTTCCATCTGTTCTGCCCTGGGGAAGTATCCTTTGACTTGGAAGAGCTGATGATCATCATCTTGTGATGCCCTGGGAGGGGATTAGTTTTGACAGAGTCACCTACAGGAAAGTTTGGAGACCTCCCTCAGTGTGCCCTGTGCCGGTGCTGAGCACATGGAGGGAAACACACCAAGAGTCAGACGGCCCTGC